GGGATTCTGCCCCTCAGCTCTGCTCTTGTGAGAGCTCACCTGGAATCCTACGTCCAATTCTGGGGTCCCAGCGCAGGAAGGACATGGACTGTGGGAGTGAGTCCAGAGGTGAGACGCAAGGGTGATTAGAGGGATGGAGGGTCTCTCCTATGATGACAGGCTGAGAGAAATGAGCTTGTTCAGCCTGTAGGAAAAAAAGCTCTGGTGTGACCTTACTGTGGCTTTTCAGCACCTGAAGGAGGCCTGTAAAAATAACTGAATGGCTGCTTACAAGGGCATGTAGTAACAGGACAAAGGGTAATTACAAAAGGCCATAAACTTGAAGCGGGTATGTTTAGTTTAGATATTAGATATTCTTTCCTCTGAGGGTGATCAGGCAATTAAACAGGTTGGCCAGATAAGTTGTGGATGACCTATCCCTGGAAGTGTTCAAGACCAGACTGGATGGGGCTTTGAGAACCCTGGTCTAGTTAAAGGTGACTTTGCCCAAGGCAGAAGAAATGGAATTAGATGATCTATAAGGTCCCTTGCAACTCAAGCCATTCTGTAATTCAATGATTCTATACTTGCAGATAATGTAAAAATTTGTCCAGCGTTTTACAAATGGATCTACTTTTGCATTGAATAGGATCCTCAGATAATAAAGACATTCTGTAACCTCATCTATATTTTGTCTCTGAGACTTTGTTAGAACCACTAATGTAAGCTTATGTAAAAGGTGAATTTGTACTAGCATTACTAGAATGCTGCATTGCTCATAAGAAATTACAGAATTTAATTATGAATTCAGGTTTTTAAAAATGAATAAAAAATTTTAACTGTGGATAAATGTAACAACTATTACACTGGATCTCCCACCTAAAAAATAAATTTTGGAAATTCTGGGGAGACCGTGGATTTAATTTTGGCTTTTGCTGCCTCTCCATGGAAAACAGAGAGATGTTAGCTGTTTAATTCCAGAATTTACATATTTTATAGAATGAAAATTCAGCAACATTAAGCATAGTTAAAAAGAGTATTGTACAGCAATGATTTTGCTATTGCTATTTTTAATTCAGAAGTTGTGCTTGACTATTATATGAATGTATAAGTAACATGTATGGGAGTCAAATCCTGTTTTGCATTTGTGCAGTCATGAAGGGATGTCACCTCCTCCCTCTCCTCCTAAAGTGCCTCAATGGCTGTATTACATGCTCATTAATTTTGATTTTACTGGGCACCCTACCAAAGATGGTGGAGAACTTCTGCACTAAAAAGACATTAATAAACCCCTACATGCAGGTCTCAGGATTGTGAAAGTCCATACTGCTTTACCACCCCTATTCCCCCTTATCCAAATGACAGTGTCTGTGGTATTTGAAGACTATTTTGGGATTCATTCCTCCAAAATTTTGTGCTCCTTTGATCAAGCCACAGGATTTGAGAATCTTTAGTTTTCATGGATGTTTTTTATAGTCACAAAGTTTGCCTAGCAGGTTTCACTCTGTAATCTGGATTACCATTCTGACAGTTCATGCAGCCTTATCTATATTGTTTGTTACAAAAATTTTAAACAGTTAATTAACTGAAGGAGTCATTAGAGATGTGATGCTGAATGGAAACAAGGTTGGAATAAAAAAATTTATAAAGAAAAAGCAAGTTGTTCCCAACTCATTTGGTTTCTATCTTTCGAAAATATGACTGAGCTTCAAGCAGTAAATCTTGTCTACCTGGTATTCCCTGACAGGTTTGATAAGAGAACTATGGAAAATGGGTGTTTGACTCTAATGGAATGGACTTTGATGCCGCAATTGTAAAATGAGCAAAAGACTTGTTAAACCAGAGGCAAAAATGTGTTTATTTAGAAAGAGAAGGTGTTGGTCATGAAGAAGGTAATTTGTAGATTTTCTCAAGGATTGGTCTTGACTTTATCACTTAAGCAATTTTCAGGAACAGGGTTTCTGAAATTTTCTGACACAGTTTTTCTGTGTGTTGTGTCTGCAAAACAGGTGGAAATATGGTAAGACTGATGAGCAGATAGGCTTCTAAAAAATAGAGATTAAATTCACAGTTGCTGAGCTCAAGATCATGTATTCTGTTTTCGTGCAGCATGTCAGAGATCATTAAATGCAAAAAATGAAATAAATGAAATTCCAAATCTAGTAGTCACAGGAGGACTATCCTGTAATTCTAGATGAGAACAGACGCAAAATAAGTCTATTAGGACCATTTAAGGAGGGGAATTTTTATTTTGTCAGCAGAGACTGGAAAAAATGGCTTATTCAGGCTAGTAAAGTTAATTCTGAGATGTCCGTTACCTATGAAAATATCAGAAGTAAACACCAGGGAAGGAAAAAAAATCCTATTTAAAGATGAACTAGACAAAATAATGTTTATGAAACTGCTACAAGTAAACTTAGGCTAGTAATCTGAAGATTATTCTAAATCAAGAAAATTAAGAAACTCAGTAACTTCTTATAATACCATAACTGCAGCAGATGCAAAAAATAAACTACTTTTCAAATGGAATGTGAGAAATGAAAGAAATGTGATTTTGTAAAGTGCTTATGCAGGGATTTTATCCAGGAAGTCCTGGTTAGTCTTATATATATGTCTTATCATCCTAGAGGGCGTGTTATTGCTTGACTACTGCTCACTTGTCAGGTGGCATAACTTAATTCACTGAAGAGCCCAGTGACGAATAGCCCCTATAGAATTCCAAGATTGCTCCCTGCAGGCAGATCTTGGCAAGCTTCATCCCATTAATCTATGTTGTCCTGCGTTTGTTATGGAAATAAAATTCAATTGCATGACTCCTGCCTTTTCCCAGTAATTTTCATAATCTTAGTCACAGCAATTACTGTAAATTGATTGTAGAATCTGTAGTGCCCTTCTGTCATGTTAGAGAGAGACTATATATCATAAGAAAAAATGTGATGCATTTTTAAGTATCTTTTTTCTCATACCTGCAAACCATACTGGGAACATTGACATACATGTTAGGTGCTGTGAAAGACAGGCAGAGAAGCTGTGCTTGAGTCCATCACACTACTCAGAAAGGCTGCTATATTTTTGTGATTTCTTTTTCATAAGTGGTTCTGCTCCATGTCTCCAATGCATCAGAGATGACCACCTGAACAGAGTTAGATGAGACAGTGACTAGCATGTTGGTAAGACCAGGTGCCTTGCCTAGTAGTGCATTAGTAGTTAGTTCTTCAGTTACTAATGGAACTGGGAGGTAGAAATTTCAGTGACTGAAAAATTAGCAACATCTGTTGTGGTTTAACACTTGTAGGCAGCTAAGCCTCACACAGCTTGCTCAGTCTCCTGCAGTCAAGTCTCCCACAGCAGGATGGGGAGAGAAAGGGAAAAGCAGAAGTGAGAAAACTCATGCATCAGGATAAACACAGTTTAAAAAGAAGAAGTAAACAAACCAGTGATGCAAAAGCACTCACTCACCACAAATTGATCCACATTCAGTCTCTACGAAATAGAGACCTTAAAACTCACTGGCGTTCCACCCGTGTCTCCAGCTTTTTCTGCTGAATGTGACATTATATGCTACAGCATATTCCTTTGGTCTGTTTGGATCCAGGGTGCCAGTCCTGTCACCTCTCGGCCACTTGCCCACTCCTAGCTGACTCACTGGGGCACCAGAGTGAGAAATAAAATTTTTTGCTGAGTTAGCACTGTTCAGTTATTAACATTGTTTGGTCATAAATCCAAAACATAACACCATATGAGTTGCTATGAGAAGTGCTAACTCCATTCCAGATAGAACCAGTACAAATATTCCAGTGGTGAAAGAACAGGCAAAACATTCCAGGGCTATTGAATAAATGGTTCTTCTTTCATTTCAATGGGATTTGCTCTCCTTTAACATGGGATTAGTTGGTTGAGGAAGTAAATTATGATTTTCTGATTCTCTAGTTTTAAGGCATTTCTGTTTTAATCATTATTTTGTTGCAATGAAGTGGTAAATTCATGGTCATGACACTTAGCATTTGACATAATATCTTCATATACATTATGATAGTAAACCTATCAGTCTACTGATAAGGAAACTTCACCTAGTAAGTGAAGTTTCCTTATCAGTAGACTAAACTTCTATTATTTTTAGGTGCTTAAAACTTAACTCACATGTTGACACAATTAAATTATTTTATTTCCCCAACGGCCCTTGTCAGATAGTAGTGTACTGGCAAAACAATGCCAGTACACAATACAACAACTGGCCTTTCCATAAAGTGTTCTCATTTTGTTATGTATTTAATGATGCCTTTGCTAACACTTTAGCTGTTTTATACATTCAAATGTCTTCCAGTTTGGTTATATCACAGAATAACTTGCATTTTTTTTTCAGGATATTGCATCTTAATTATGTTTCTAACCCTCCTTTTGCTGGCAGTTATGTAATGTTTAAAATTTGAAGAAACAAAAAAATTTGTTACTAAATGTAGCATAGAATATTATAATGACCTTTAAATTAAGCCAGTGGATATGATAAATCATAATAAAGAAAATAATGAAACACATGCGCACAACCATTATGTAGTCAAAAGTGTGCAATGCAGGATACTAAAGACAGAATTATTGATGTAAGTTTAGTAGGGGTGATTGTTCTTAGCAAGGAGGTTGTGTGAAAATTGCTAAGATGTGTTTCAGTTGGCAGGCAAATTTTCTACAGTGGGCAAGCCAAAAGCCAACTTCTCTAGTTTCAACTGAGGTCAAGAGGTATGCTACCATTAGAAGAAACAAGATCTTCGGTAGTCTTTTCTGTCTCCTTTCAAACATTCTCCAAAAACATTGCTGATTAAGGGCACTATTGCCCCTCAAAATGTTATTGCAGAAAATATTTATTAATCTTACCCATCACCCCATCACCACAATAAGGAGCTTTTTTTTTTTTTTTTTGCTTAACTGAGTATACCTTTTATTTTTTGCTTTCTTTCTCTCTTTTTTTTTTTTTTTTTTTTTTTTTAAATTTAAATACACTGATTTGATTTATCTTACCCTCACAGGCTGCTTAAAAAACCTCAAAGTGCTCAATGTGAGTTTCAATAATTTGAAGTCAGTTCCTCCAGAACTGGGTGATTGTGAGAATCTAGAAAAACTGGATTTGTCTGGAAATATGGAAATAACAGAGCTCCCATTTGAAGTAAGATAAAAATCTATGTTTGTTTCGTGTTCAAATCTTTTCTTAACAGATTAAATCATATTCCATGAAGTTTTTAGCAATAATGTTTTACTAGTAATATCATTGAAAATGCCTTAGAAGTACTTAAATAGGGCCAAGGTACCTTGTTTTGGTTTTACAGTGACTAAATTTTACTTGTATATATTCTGATATATGAAGGAGGACAGGATCCTAAAGGGGATTTCACTGTGGTAATAAGCAGCAGGCTGCAAATAGCTCTTTTCTGTAAAAATGAAGTACATTTTGTTAGTCAAATTCACACACACACTTTGCTCCCATTGTCTGTTTTCATTTAAAAACTGTATAGAAAGTTCTATAAACAGCACTGCATTTTGCTACAAGCACAAATATTTCTCTGAAAAGGATATTACATGTGAGGAATGGCATGAATGTATAATAGACTGAGAAAAGAACTCCCAGGCAGGCACCAACATTATTTTTTTTTCTGTTGGCGGCATAACTGATCTCTGCCACAGCTGCTCTGAAACTTATTGTCGGGGGGAAATAAAATAATTTGCTGGTACCTAACCACAATTTTTGCTGTCATCTGTATTTCTCAGGTTCTTAATATCCTGATTTCTGGGGGGTGAGTAGAGGGATCTTTAGGGAAAAGTGTCAAGCTCTTCTTTACTGATTCCTACTTTTTCTCTAAACATCTGTAACTGGGGATTCACAGGCAATTGGAATGTTGGAGTGGATTAAATTTAAGTGAGATCTGATTTAGCCCTGCTTATGTTCTCTTCTGAGGAAAGCAATAGTAATTAATTTTCTCCACTGATTTTCATAGTAAAGAAGTTATCTAAAAAGAATTGCTAAAAAAATTGAGTGAACGAAACAGAAACAAAGAGTGAACTTTCCCACTATGAATGGACATGAAAAAGAAATGGTAGCAGCAGAATAAGCAGTGCAGGTCTACTTTTTCCTGCCTCTTCTTGTTTGGGTAGCAAAACCAGAGAATGAAACAGAGAGAATTTAACTAGTAAAAAGGAATCATAATGGAATCAGGAAATCATATGTCCTGAATAGGCAAATGAATTAAACAATATTATCAGTCTTGTAGTGCAGATTTACCCATGTTGGTGCATTATGGGTAGCCTTTGCATGGAAACCTACCTGCGCATGTAAGTCTTTTCAGGGCTGAGCCTGAGAGACCAATGTTTCTTTTGGAGAGGTCTAAAATGTAGTTTCTTTCCTAAAGTCTCCTATTCAATGAAATTGAAAGCCACAAAACTGAGTGTAGGGTATGGCCTAATGGTTCACTTAAAACTTACAGAAAAAAAAAAACCCCTGGAGTTGTGCAAATAACTTTATATAATAGTAAAAACTGCATGTAACATCATGTTAGTATGGCAAAAAAGGTAAAGAAGAAAAATACTGGCATTATCTATTGCGTTTCTCTGGAAGCTGAAACTCAATTTATACTTATCGTGATCTGGGAGGTAGGCTACACAAGCTCTTCTGATTTAGATTATAAACTCGGTTTCTCAGAATCAACATTTCAAGGGCAGCTTTGGAAGCTGAACATACAAATAAAGGAACATTTTTGTTGAATGATGTGAAATGCTGCTAAGTGTTTGGCCTTTAGCATACTCACTATGGCTTGTGTTATTCAGAACAAATGCATCAGAATCCTTGCTAACATAATAGGTGCCTAATGTTGACTCTCAGACAAATAGTTACAGTTATTAGCAGGTAACAGTTTAATGAATTAAAATATTGAATAAGTCTAAATAGTTTTAAAAGAGAAAATAGAAAAATAGTGCTGGGCTAGCTTTGAATAGCCAGATGCCTACCTGTCTGAACACTTCCTCCCCCTCTTCAGCATGGCATTGGGAGGAAATATTTTGAGAAATCACATGTTTCAAGATAAAAGACAGGGAAATTGTTTCTCATTTACTTTTATAAGCAAAACAGACTGTACTTTGGGAAGATTAATATTTGTCAATATATATTTCTAAAAAGAGAAAAATAGGACGGGGTTTCTTCATATTTCAGTAATAATAGACAAAGAAAATAAAATAAAATCTTCCCCTCTCTTCCAAGGTCAACTTCATTTCTGATTCCTCTTCCATCCCTGATTAGTGCAGGGTGGCAAGAGAAGTTACAGCCAGTACACAGTGGTTTACTGGCTGTAAAACCTTCATCCCTTTTGTTCTCCCCTCGTGTGGCGCCCCCATGGGCTGAGTTTTTTTTAGGAATATTCATCTGCAGCAGCACGAGTCTTCCATGAGCTGTACCGTGGAGATCTACTCCACCATGCAGCACCTCCGCTTCCTCCTGCTTTGACTTGATATTTCCTCTGTTCCTTCTCACTCTTTTTATGTTCCCCTTTTCTCTGGTGGATTTTTTCCTCTTTCTTAAATCAGTTTTTAGAGTGACACAGCACACTCTGCACTTTGCTGAGGAGCTTTGCTGTGTCCTGTGCTTGGTCCATTAGAGACATCTGGAATTGTTGGTATCCATTTGGGGAAGCCTCTGGTGTCTTTCTGCAGAGCGTCTTCCCCTGAACTCCCCACACTGCCAGCACGTTGCCATGGACAAGCAATACAAGTATTAATGACCACAAGTTAGATGTTCAAGTTCTAGTCCAATAGAATTGTTGCTAACATCCATTAATCCAGTGAAATGTTTATAAGGGTTAGCCGTGTCTCTCACATGGAGTCAGTACTGGGAATTGGAGATTGCAATAAAGCAAATATGTGAAAGCTCTGTTTTGTTAGGAGAATGACTTCTCTTTACAACATTAGGAAGAAAAACTTGGCAATCAATACAAAAAATAACATAGAATGTTGATTAAAATGTTTTCTGTTTATGCTCTCTTAGGAAGTTAAATTTTTATTTGACTTTCAAGTCCTTAAAAGTTTATTCTGGGAAGATTAAAGGAGTGTGCAAGAATGGCATCAGTATTCTTCTTTGTAAAACTTAGTCAGAAGTAATAAAGGCCAACTGCAGCCCAGTAGAAATTATTAAAGTCTAATTTTGCCTTGGGTTTTTTTTTACATAGAGTAATGGCCAGAGAGACACCCTATTCAAAACCATAACATTATTCTAGCCCTAATGCACCTCATGGAGTACCTGTATCAGACTTTTAGGAACATGCATGTCCAAATGCCTAGGCTTTTTCAATATTTCTGTTTGGGTGTGCTTTGGAACTGTTCCTTGAGGGATGTGCCTTGTGCCATAGCATCAGGAGGAAAGCACATTGCTCACTAGTCTGTTCATTTGTAGCAAAAAGCTCTTTCTCTGTTTGTAAAGACCACTTTCAGCACTCTGTAAGTCATCTCACTAAATCTTAAAATGAGGTAATCTGATGCTACGTGAAAAAAAATGAGGATGTGTGCTCTCATCTTTCATGTTCTCAAGGATTAGGACATCATACCATTCCATATTATGTCCAAGGAAGAGCAATCTGTTTCAATGTCTAGCTCTCAATTTTTAAAAATTTGTTCTATTGTTGGATGTGTAACATTTTTAGATTCAGATATTTATTAGATATTGTCTAATTAAATATTTAGGTATTATGTCTAACATTTTAGATATTAGTTAAAATCAATTTTTGATTAGTATCAATTGAAAGTAAAACTTAGTGGAGAAAGTTTATGGATCTGCAGTGGAGTTCAAATCTATATTAGCTGCACTTGGGAATGAATTATGTCTACCTCCAGACATAGTGAAAATATAAATTGAAATAAAATATAAGTGTATACAAGAAAAGTAAACCTATATGACATAATGTTTATGTAGTCAGCTTATAAGTCAGTAGCCAAGTTTAGCAGAGGAAAGTACTCTATGAGGTTTAGGGCACAACACATATCTTGCAAGATTCTTAGGTGGAGAGGACTGTTCTTCTAGCTGAAATGCTCAGGAGAGGCATGCCATGTACCTTATCCAGTCCCTCTCTCACCACAGTGACATTATACTGGATACTATATATTAGTAGTTACAGGGAGAAGGAGATAGATAGACTTATTTCCAAATTTCTTGTCTATTTTGCATGTGAATTTAATAGTTAGCATGATGCTGGTATTTGTATTTTAACTATTGGATAGTGTTCCTCTCACTATTGTCATCATACTGGTTATGCAATAAAATTCTTCTTCCAGGAAAGAAACCCCCTGTATTATAAATAATATATTTTCTGATTAAAATTTGTAGAAAAACTGCTATGACCTTATTTTCAGGTGGGCTTTCTTCAGAAAATATTACTTTCTGTAGTTATTTACTGAATCACATAATTAGAGATTCCTGTTAATGATATTTCAAAGAGACAGCTTTGTTGTGGACTCCCTTTTTTTTATGCCAATAATGTTACTGCAGCCAACAGTATCTATGTGACCCAAAGGAATTTCAATGAAAAAGAGGGAATATGAAGAAGTTCTAATTTCTTCCAGCTGTACCATCTGGTACGACACATGGTGTCAGTCACAGGACAGGCAGGTCATTCCACAGCACCAGAAGCAAGAGAGAAATGTTTGCAGTAGATGTCATGATGCAGAAAATGAATTAAAAAAGTTTTTTTTCAAAGTTGTTATGCCTTGAACAGTGTTCAATACTACATCTGAGGAGTCCCAGTAAGTGATCAGAATTTTTTCTATATCATCTGGGTAGAGCAAAATGAAGGAATTAGAGACTGTTAAAGTATATGAACAATTTGTCAAGCAGAGTGTGTATCTATGAATACCTACATTTTCATGTCAATCCTGTATATACTGATCTTTGAAATTCAGAGAAATTAAAATGTTATGCTTCATGGATGTTTTAACACACTGTGTTTTCAAAGGATCAAATTAAATCTTGTTTTGTATATATCTGATGCACAGTTTCAGCTAAGTCCTAATATAAGCAAGCACAGATATGAAGACCTTTCAAAATCATGGAACCATAGAATAGTTTGGATTGGAAAGGATCCATAAAGATCATCTAGTGCAGCCCCCATGCCATGGGCAGGAACATCTTCAACT